TGAAATTATGTAAAACTACAAACTAACAAAAAAAAGCCCCAAACCAGCAAGACAACAGAACATTCTGCTCGTTAAGAATTCTTGTGCCTAAAGGGTAAAAATCATCACATGACGTGCCTGTTCTTTATATAGTTCACGTGTCTCAACTGACCAGATAGCTGCTGTGGTAAGGTTGAAGAAAACATGGAAGGTAAATGTCAAACTGAACAGCATGACTGTGCATTGAGAAGAGAGGGGGACTTCTGACAAGCCAACACCAATGGAAGCCTAAATACATTTCACTTTCAAACCCACTGAAAAAGAGAACCTCCTGAAGACAGAACTGCTGTTACTGCTGCCTGTGTCTCTATGAGCTGCTCATAACAGAACAGAGACATGGAGAAATAGAAAAAAAAAAAAGAAAAACAACAACAAACTTAAAGCATAAATGATGAAGAAACAGTAAGAATACTTCTGGACATAAAGCTGATTAAGGAATATAAATCTATTTCCTACTTTTGAGCATATAAAACAGCTCTTCTGGCAAAACAGTAAGCCTGTAGCAGATTAAGAATATGAGAAACAAACCTAGAGTCCTAAGTTAAAGGCATCAATACTGGTTTAGTGCCTAAGTAGTACAAGTCAGAATATTCACTAAAAAAACCCCACAAACAACCCTGCCCCCCAACTCCCAAACCAGTCTTGATGGGAAACTTTATAATGTCCTAAGAAAGATGTACTCAAAAAATTTAACCTTTAACAGGAATTCTAATAATTCTGTTTCAAGCCATTGAGAGGTTTTGTTTCAATACAAAAGTGAAAAAGTAATGAAAACATCTTTCATTAACTTAATACGGAAAATCAGTAGGAATTCTGCAGTTAACAAAATGCAAATCATCATGCTATAGAAATTAAGTCAAAATCTAGTTCTTTATCCTTTGGAAAAGAAAAAATTGACAACAGTAGCCTTTTTGCTTTTGGCTGATTGCCGTGGTAGGAAGTGGAGGTTGGGGGCAGAAAACAACTCTGATGTGCATAGTAAAATGAAAGCAGCAGCTCCCAGGAACTTTCAAACTGCTGCAGATTAGCTGACAAGTGCTCACAGAATATTTATTTATGAATTAGTCTCACCTTGTAATGCATCAATTCAAACAAAAGAGCTTCATATTAAATATGTATTTCATTAATTCAGGTCCAATTACCAGATAAGTTTGTAACTACAGACAATTTTTATTCACATATATTACCTGCTACCAGAGTCTGAGGCTTATCTAGATATAACAATGAAACTCACGTGGAACACATGCATGCATATCCGTGGGTAATTTGAATAGCTGAAATTAAAGAATGCTTCAGAGATTTACTACCTACTGAAGGTCTGTGTAATATAGAAAGCTCAGTTTAGAAACAGAACTTTTACTTTTCAGAAATAGATACACTGTTACAAAGCGGAAATTTCAGAAGCCCAACAGCAAATTTACACCAGGTTAGTTTCAGCAAAAGAAGTTCCTTGCAAAGTCAAAGTTAACTGTATTAAAAGTTACACAAATCCAAGAATGTGCTTGTCATTTTATATAAAAAGTGACAATGCAAGATCTGATTTTCAGTGATCTTAATACATTTTCCAAGTCCATAGTTGAATCCATATATTCCTCCTTTAAGCTATTATTTGAACTGACACATGCTTACACTTTTAAGATTTGCATCAAATTGTTCACAAATCTACCACTGCTGCCTGTTTTTAAAGATCTACGCCGGAATGCGGGTTGCAGCTTCCTCTTCTGCATCAGCTCTGTTGGCATTTATTTCTGCCAGCGTTCGACCAAATCGAGTCCACTCATCACTGCGAGGAACGGCAATTTGCTGTTGACAGAGAAAATGTTATTTAAACCTACGGATAAATAAAAACTGAGCTAATTTGGAACAGCAGAGCGCTTAAGTAACATTCAGAAGAAATTCCAATAGAAAAGCTTAGCTTTATTTAGTGTAACTTTTAAAATAGTCTGAACATCAGAAGGCTCTAACTAATAAAAGAAGCAGAATTTGAGAATCCTGTATTTAAGTATGTAATTCTACTATTACAAGCTTTCATGATACATCTCCATCTGAGAGACTGCCTCCAAAGGGAAATACTTATGCCATATCCTCATCCAGTCAATTAGTTACGTACTACTGCAGTACGTGTACTTGCAATAGCAACAGCTTCCCTGTAGGAATGAAGTCAAGACTGCTTCACTGCAAAATTATTTGTTCGGTACTTCTCAAGCTATGGTCAGAATTCACACGTCACACTTACAAAGAAGATAAAGTCTCTACAAACAAAACCATTGACTCTTTCATCTTATTTCACCAGCCTTATGATAATGTTTTTACTTTTTGATTGGTTGCCAGATGGCATGCTAAAAAGTTATGCTAGAATACCAGAAATAGATACAGAAAGAAAACATTAATTTGAAAATAAAAATTAAACCTTATTCCTTTGATCATGGGGGAAAAAAATTAAAGGCAAGTTGCTAAATAAAAGTCAAAGAAACTTGATTGTTTTGTAATGTACTTTGCACAACACACAGTATACATACCTCTCCCACGTCATAGATAACTATTTGTCCCTCTGAATCACCTACAGCAATCTCTCTGCCAGAATGTGTCCATCTCACACGGTTCAGAGCAGGATTGCCCTCCACAGTAATGCTTGCAGTTGGCACCTGTATCCATTTAAAACATATTGCTAAAAACGCACAAGGATTCCATAAACTATAGGTTAGAGAACATGCCTAGTCCCTCAGTGTTGTATCGAAAGAAGTGCCCAACATCTCAACTGAGGCAGAGTACGTAGATCTCAAAGACTCTCAGTGGCCAAAACAACACATCTGTCCCTTGGCCAAAGTACAAACATCTTCTATCAAAAAGCACATCTGCACTCTTGTCGTGAGACAGGAGACAGAAACGCATTCAGTCAGACAGCAAGGAGGAGCCCTAGGATCTCAAGAAAGATTATGACAGAGGGCAGGGATGAAATCAGCTGCTTTAGCAGGTCAGATCCTGTCTAAAGGCTAGAACCATGTAATTCCAATTTGAAGCCGTAGGCTGGTGTATGATCCTACAGAACTCCTGTCTTCTATATGCAGTTTTAAGAAGGTGAAATTTAAGTACTGAATATCTGTCAGGTTTTTCCTCTCACCTACCTCCAAGAAGTTTAAGTCTTAGAAAAGGTTTATACTATAACCAAGTCTGTAACTCACACCAGAAAACCCCAGCATTCAATTTGGTAAGTTCAAAACCAATTTACAATGCCACTGCAGTATTGCTACAGTAATAAGGCAATAGGAACGACGGTGGTGTCTGGGTTACAGGTTTGTTCACGGCACTAAGCTGCAGGCTGACGAGGCTGTACTGGGGGAGGTCTATAATCACTTCCGCAACATGGATCAGTGTCACACCAACAGACGTTTTGCACTCTCGTTACAGGTAAAGCAACTTAGTTACCACTGTTACGCATTACGAGGAGTCATTTGAGTTACAACCCCGTAATCGAAGAATTATATCTATTACACAGAAACTACTGGAACTACAGAATATTTAAGAACAACAGCACAAAACCAAACCAGAATGCTATGGTAAACTCCTGACATTTCCCCCCCCCAAAATGTACAAACACTTTTCCAGCTACATTTGACTGTTAACCTGACTGCCTCACCTCAGTATCATTGTTGAGATTCCACAGGTCAAGCCTGCCCATCCCATCCACACAGGCAAACAAGGCAGGGTGAGTTGGAGACCACATCACATCATAAACATAATCGGAGTTGTCTTCAAAGGAGTAGAGAGGTTTGTTATTCTGAAAAAAGCAAACATAACAATGCAATACCCAGACTCTGCACTTCAAAACAAAAAAGCTAATGGGTAAAGCAAAATACAGAACTTCTCAACAGCATTATCAGCAATAACTAAAAAGTGACTCACATTTTGACTTACTGCAAAAAATGACTCTGCAAAAAGCAGCCAAAAATTAACGCTATTATTAAAGGGATGTTTTCCAAAGCGCAGCCTTTTTGCTGGTTGCTATTATAAAACAATCAGTAGCAGGTTGTAAGAGCAGCAGATTGTAAGAGATATTGTAAATTGAATGCATTAAGAATCTTGCAAAGCAAGCCAGTGATAATTCAGTGACTTCAGACTATTACTGGGAGATTCTAACGCTGCTTCCTCTGCTTTGCATTCCTCAGGGCATCAAACTAACAGAGGAAGAGGTAATTCTGGCAATGGGAATGATAGATCTTTTTATTGTGAGCCTCATGGAGTTTAACCCACATCAGTTTTGGTGCTGTCCCTTAGTCCTCCACAAAATTGTAGCAAAACATTTGCCTTATGCACAATATGAAGTAACTGATTTTACAACATGATTTACATTTGATCACATTCTAATCGTTGTTGATAACAAAAGGCAAAAAGATGAACAGAATGGATCAGAAGCATACAAATGATGTACAATCTGAAAGCAAAGCTTTGTGTTAACTATAGTTTTGTTCATCAGCTGTCTCCCCTTTGCAGGACTGCTGCTAGGAACCTACAGAGCTTCCCACGATTTGACTTCAGTTTACCGAAGTTCCTTAAGTAGCTTACATTATAGCACCACCTTGTGTCAAGGACTACGAAGAAACCCACTGAACTATCTATTTAAGTTACCTTAGTTGTCCAAAGCTTTACTGTCCAGTCAAAAGAAGAGGTGACAAAGAGATGTGAGAAGTCTACAGGTCCAACTGCTGCATGGCAGTTGATACCTGTGATTGGTCCCTGGTGTCCTTCAAACATCTCACTGATTCCAGCTTTGCTGTTTTAGAATATATAACCAAGGTTAATTTATCTGGAAACCATACATCTGCAGAGATAACGCAATTTAAATGTAGCCACAAGAAGATTTTGCTGCTCTGTATGGATGTTACCCCGCTGCAAAAGGCTTCATCACAACAGGATCATACCAGATCAGGCTTGACTACTTCAACATCTATTTTCTGCTAACCTTAAGTGCCAAAACACACCACAGGCAGAAGAGACTCATTCAGCAGGTACCAGCTCACACATTTAACTACATTTTTCTCCAAGCAATAGCTAAAACTTCCATTCATACAAAGAACAAAATCCCGTCCTCAGGAACGAGCACAAAACTCCCACTGACTTAAGAGAAGTTCCATGTACCTTATGGACACAGGGTTCGGACATAAACCAGTAACAATATATCCTTAATAGTCTCCTATCATAAGCGATGAAAAAGAAAGGGAGGAACAGACGGGAAAGATGTTACACGAAAGTAATACAATTTGGGGTATTTTGAAACCAAAAAGCTGTGCAGCAAGGGTGATGTGTATTTGAGATGAAACCTGGACGCTCAATTATATTTAAGAAAGCAATTGATAAGATACAGTCAGACAATTTCAAAATAGATTGAACAGCAGGAGAAAAGCGAGCCAATTTAAGATTTGTGCGTGATGTTACTGTACAATTATCTATAGAACCGATATGAAGTTTAGAATGTTGTGCTACAATTCAAATGAATAAAACTGCAGTGACCTATGCTGCCCTCATCAACACAAACAACAACTAGTCACTGAAGGCAGCTTAGTACCAATTCAATATTCCAACTACTGCTTTTAATGAAGCTCTTAGTCAGGAAAAAGTGTGCACTGGAATTCATACACAGCTATGTTGAACACCTTAAGACAACTATATTGAACTCCTTCAAGACAAAGGAGTAAAGATGCACTGCAAATAATTTTAGGAGTGTAAAGCATGCAAGGACTCATCCTTTCACTATTATTATTTCCTTTGAATAGTTCAAGTTTGTATTCACCTGCCATGACGGCACGCAGTGTACACCGAGCCTTCTTCACTGCCAACAACAAAGTTGTTGACATCTCCAAGAGGGAAAGACAGGCAAGTAACAGCCACAGCCTTGGACTGTTTGTGAACCAGCTCCATGCTATCCTGTAGTGAAAATAACAGCAACTTACTTATTTTTTAAAAAAAAGGTAATATTAACATCTACAAAGTCATTTAGATTTCTCAATAGTAGGTTGTGGGGTTGCACAAAAGTGCAACAAAAATACAGAAAAAGGAACAGACAATATTTGATTCCACAGGTGAGGAAATATTTTATCAAATACTTGTCAAGCTACCTTAAGCATAATTCTGTGTGTGTGTGAAAATGTTTATTAATGCTTTTTAGTTTCATTAAGTTTCTACAAAATATTCAAATGGAATAGATACTATAGGTATATCCAAAGTTATCTTACCTGCGGTTGGGAAAGCATGTCCAGACTCCAAGAGCATATTTTCCCATCAGTTGAGATACTAATCAAGTTATGAGCATTCTGGGTCCCAACAACATTTACACAGTACACTGGGTGCTAAGAAATGTAAAATACTATCAGAAGAAGGAATTTCCAAGTAACAACCGATTCTGGTATAATTAACATACAGTAAAATATTCAACTTTACCATTTAACAAAGCATAAAATATTGATCACGGTACAGTACAAAGAATACTCCCCTATGAAACTGAGATTTGTTTTTCTGACACTGATGTTTGGGAATAGCCCAGTTCTTCAGTGATAGCATCGGCAAAATACAGACACAAACGTTTAAGCATTATCAATCAAGTGCACTGGACAGAGTTTCCCAGAGATTAAATACATCTCAACAGGGAACAGTCCTTGAAGATATTTCACCCCTACCGTGTGAGCAGCAGCCGAAAGTGGAGTTCTCTGCACCGGGGTTCTCTTATTGCTCCGATTATCCCATAGCACTATTTGCCCTGAGTATGTGCCACCAACCACCAGATTGGGATGGAATTTTGCAAACGTAGCTGACATCACTGCTGACTGAACGGAAAAAAACAAACAAAACACATTCAACAATGCTATGTCTAAAACTAAAGAAAATGGGACTAAATATCAGAGTAAGTTCTTTGCCTAGATTTATTCTACACACTATTTTGCTGTCCAATTACTTAAGGATTCTCAAGCCCTTTGCGGACCCCCAACAGTCTTAGTTTTAATTTGTATTCATAAAATGAAGCTTTCCTCCTCTTTCCTTTCATATGTACACACTTGTAATTCCTCCTAGTGTAGTTTGTTAGCAAGGGACAGCCTGGTAATGCACAAGACTTTAATAATGTTTTGTCACATTCTGGGGTCACTTTCTTAGAGAACATACAAATCCGTTTTGATACCATAAAGTTACTTTTACAATCTGGGCTTTGACAGTAATCTGACAACATGGGATTAAATTTTGATTCAACTATGTAATTTTTCAGAATAATGGCATTTTGAAAATAAAGTGGCTATCCTAGGCTTGGTGTAACAGAAGAGATTTGCATGTTTTTATCTTTCAGAAAAGTACTGTAAAACCTCCATCTGCTTTTATCTTGACACATATGTTTCTAGTTTTCATCCTTACTCCATCTCCTCAGGCCATCTTAATTTTATTCAGTAAACTAAGCTCCAATAGTATACAATCCCACTCAATCCCCTTACATACAAACTGCCTTTGTGGTTCAAACATTACACAAGAAGGTTTTTTTTTTTTAATAAGAAAATGAGTTCTCAAACAAGCCTGAATTCTGAACAAGGTTAGAAATTCTGAAACAGAATAATGTTTCTAAACTGAAGTCTCTAGCTACCAACATCTGTTTGCAAATACATATGGTTAAAGTGAACGCCAGCTCAAAATCATTATGCATAGAGAAGGTACTTGGACAAGTTGATCAACGTAAAATCTTTAGCACCCCAAGACAGAATCATACCTGGCAGTGAAAGACATACTCTGGGGTAGTTTTCTTGTACTTCATGTTCCATACAAGGGCCACTCCATCAGGCTCATGAGGTGCATCTTCATTGTTGTTGTAAGAGGCTACAAGTAATTCTGGGTACTGTAAAATAAGTGAAAAAGACTCAAAGTAAGCAAGATGACTAGCTAATGGTCCAAATGATCCTAGAATCTTTGTTTTCTTTAGCCACAATAGGCTTAAAAAACCCACCAAAAACCGAAAGCCACCTTACGTTATATATGAACAAGAAACTGTCAGTTAAAACTGTAATTGTTTCCAATTTAGCTCATAAAACAGCATTAACATACACATTAGTCTTGTTCTGTCTTTCATCATATCTTGCTTTTTTACAAGTTCTGTTTTTTACATTTAAGTGAGCTTTTTTTAGTGAAGCTAACAGTTACCTCTAAGCAGTAGTCCATAAACCAGAAACATATGCCAAAGACTTTCTTCATAATAAAACGCTTTTGCTACTTTTCACAAAAGATTAGCAGCTCTGCTTACTTTTGGCAATCTATGGAGCATGTAAGGAACACATCCAGAAATGCAGCCTGTACCAATTGTGCTTATAGAAAGGTCAAGTGCATAGAGCTAGAAGAATTTACAAAGATAACTGCTTAATGTAAGCGTTATTTTTTACCTGAGATGACCAGTCCAAACAACTGACAACACGATGCTTTGACCAACGTTCATCAAAAAACTGCCTATTTAAGGACAGTTTTGCTCCTGCTTGAATCTCTCTATAAAGGCAATCAGAAGATATTAATCTTAGATCACCTTTTCAGTTACAAAAGTTGCACATTCACAGTAAAGTACCCAGCATTCACGTTACCCTTCCTTGTCTTCTAAGTCTCTTCCACTGTAGTCAAAGAAAATGTTGATTTGCTCAGAAAGGGCTCTTTCAACAATCCTTGTGGAATGGTCAAAAAAACTTAAAAATTCTTCAGAATGCAAAATTTGTTGTTTTTCTTCTTCTGTAAGTTCATGAGGGGCAGCTGGAAAAGAATTATACATGCATTCTCAGGACTACATACTTTCATCAATTCTTTCCAAGAAAAAAAAAAAAAAAGTATTTATAATGATAGAAAATTTGTTTCCTAACATCCATAGATTTTAAATAAGTTTTTACATATCATATTTTGCTAGCCAATTGTTAAAATGTGAATCAAATTAATTTCAACTTAATGGAAAGAAAAGAAGTTTAAAATTTATTGATGCCTTTCTTTACAGGACAGTCAAAATATCTTGAGGTGAACTGTACCTTCTTCTTCCTCCTCTTTTTTTAATGTTTTTTCTTCCTCAGGTTCAACTAATGGTTTTGGTGCAACCACATCGTCTTCATCTTCCTCATCTAAGGAGAAACATTATGGTGAGACTGTCAATGTTTTTAAAGAAGAACAGTAACATTCCACATGAATCTCAAATAAGCTGATGTAAAATGGTATAATTTAGCTTAAAATGGTTACATTTGTAAAACGTAGTGCCCAGGATGACATTATCTCAAACCAAAAGATCACTGGAACACTGTCTACACCTGGATTTTAGTTGCACTAAATTATGTGGCTGTATAAACTGAAATAAGACACGTAAGAAATTGTAAAGAATCCGAAGTGGAAATCTCTCTTATGAGCATTTACGATTCCACACAAAACCACGTGGTGGATGCATGTTCTGTGTAACATACTGACACGTTAATGCTGCAGAATAAAAATGTCTAAAATAGTCTACAGAGCAGCTGCTTGCTTGTGATCTGAAACCATCAGAGTCTAATGGGTCTTCACATGGCATGAAGATGGCTTACATTAGCTTTGAGGTTGCTATTCCGAGAGGCAAATTTTGCTAAAGATAATAGCAAGGAGATTACATTTTTTCTGTCATTCTAAATGCAAGGCTCATTATCTGTATCATGTTTGGCAATGAGAACTTTACAGCAAAATGTGTTTTCCTTAATTGCAATGAATAACATAAAACGTTAATGTTCGAGAACACTGACAAGGTTTACAGCACTTTCTTCATTTTTCTTTGAATACTGTAAACCAGAAAATAACTTTAAATTACTTAGTGTTGTGGAATACGCATTTCCTGGCTTTTCTTCATCCACTTTCTAGAATAAGCTTCTGAAAAGACTATTTTTATTGGTTAAACAGCTATGTCATCTGTTCATAAGGGAATGGCAGCAGGAGTCTGCTGCATGCCTCATCACAAGTAATGAGACAGTATTCAACAGAGACTAGGCTTGTTTGTTGCAGCCATCTCCCTGACCCATGTTCAAAGTTATCTGACAACAACAAAAAGTTTAAAAAATCCCCATGCACGCGCACACACACACACAAAAAAAAGACTGAGAAAAAAAAAAAAAGGGTGGTCAAGGGATGGGAACCAGCTGCCAAGCCATGGTCCCAGCAGCCAGGCCAGCTGACTAGATAGCAACAACCAGATGGTACTGCTAGGATTGTCTCTCTGCTACGAGGTGGCAATGGGATGGCACAACATTTTTCTGCCTGACTGCTTCCAATCATGTCTTTCCCCAATGGCAAGCCTGTGCAATTACCAGCACTCCAGGAGGTCTACAGACAAGCCTTTACCCTGCAAACAAAATACAGCTTGTAGGCCATACCAGCTGCCAAACCACACACATAGTGATAGGTTTAAAGAGGTCTGAAAATCTTTCTAACTCCATAGTATAGGCAATAAAAATATAACTGTACCTGCAGGAAAGAAAGCTTTAAATGACACTGTATAATGCACACAATAATACAAACTCCAACTTAATCAAAATGATAATGACGTATGCCAATCCTACATTACTTGAAATTGAGCGATTTTTACGTTCTGACAAGTTTACAGAACTAGGATAAATGGCATGAATGATTTCAATATATGCTCATACTTTTGAACCAAATGGTGAAGGTTAAAATCTTTCCTTTCAAGGGCCTCAATCAGCCACAAAGGAAAACAGTAATCACTGTCTTTTCAGCCAGCCCAACCGCATTTGTCAGCCCTTTCTCCGTCAATGCAGCCAGAGCAATCAACCTGCCAAACATTCAGAATGGAAAAACAATCTGAAAATACAGGGTATAATGCACCTGCCAGTGAAAATGGCCATTTCAAGAAAAGCTAGTGATCTCAGTGACCCTGCTGAGGAGGCGGTGGTGCAAAGGGGAAAGAACGCGTAAAAGAATTCTTAGTGATCTCCACTCTCTTGCACATTGACACTTCCTTACAAAGCATGCCAATTACAGCTTTTGTGCTACTTAAAAAAAATGAAAGCTTTTTTTGGGCAAAATAATCACTCAGAGAAACAGAAAGACACTGCTCCTTTTTAGATGGATTCACATGCACAGCGGACTAGTAATCTGAAAACTGTATAACTTGTAGCAATTCTAAAGAATGGAATTCTTAATGTCAAATCACTATAGGTGTGAACACTGATTAATTAAAAAATGTAATACGAGTTAACACACATGATTTTGAGAAAAACAAATACAGGACCACAGAGTCACATCACAGCCACTTGGATAAAAATCCCCCTCTTGCTCGCCCTGCCAATCAATCTTGCAGATTTAAATGATGCCTTCAAATTCAGAAATTTGGTTTTGGGTCACCCTGGATACATTATTCTAGCTTTGAAAGTCCCAAATTAGAAATTTCAGCCCAACCCCCCATTAGTCATACTACACTGATTTTAAGTACCATTTTCAGTGACAGGAGTCAAATTCTTGTCAAATGCAGATGGTCAACCCCTTAGTGCTAAGTGACCTTCTAATCTACATATTTTATTCAAAAGATCATATAGTTGATTGCTCCTGCCTTTTAATGTTTGAAACATAAATGGCATATATTATACAGAGATCTAAATTCCTTCATAGTACTTTCACTGCATACAGCCAGCTGATATTACTGCATTTAAATGCAGGATACAGCACTTATTTTAATATTCTCAAAGTATCAGAGTTGAAATTGAACATGTCATCTCACCGTGATTTATCTGTAACTACATAAATCCAAACCCTTCTCTCTAAAGAAAGAAAAGTTATATGCAAACTTTCTCATTAAGGGATCTGGAGCGGAAAAAGCAAACCAAACCAAACCCATACGCACAAGTTCTTGACCTCATTATCGGAATCTAGGATGTTTTCTTATCCAAAATTATGATGCTTTCTCACATAAGTTTCCAATCAAAAAATGCAGCATGAAGCTGTCGGACAACAAAAGAGGTAAGAAATTTTTGTTTCAAATTACTTCTCCTGTCTCTCCTTTTATCTTAAACTTACTTAATAACAGGCCAGGTGCTGGTATTTGCAAGAAATTGGCTTAACAATAACATATTACCCAGCAAACACTGAAAGATTGGACATACTACTTCTGGAAAAGTTCCATATCTATTAAGTCAAGAACCCATGATAGTGGCGTACTGCTTTTATTTCAAGTCAGCTATATAAATTTGGAAACCTTAAAGGTACTGTCTAACTTTGGCCTCTTTATTCATTATTGAACGTATCTACTGGCATTTTATGCCACTTCAATTGTCAGTATACCAAATACAATTTTGCATTTAAAAAAAGGCTGCTAAGACTTAGCATTAGGGCCATGAAGATAGGAAATGGCACATCGACATATTGATGAATATTCATTATAATATGCTAAAGGATTAACTCCATGTTATTTCTGACAGGTGAACAGAGGATCTAAGGCTACAAACTGAGCACTAAAGATTGCATAAAAATAGCAGCTACTTTAATAGCAACAAATTTCTTATCAATAAATGCTAAAAACAGGTTTAATGAACCACTGAATTTTCTTTCACTTTGAGTTAACATCAGAATTGTGATGTATTGTGGCATGACAGAAAGAAAAGCAGTGCTGTAAATTAGGCTGCACCTAGCAATAACACTATCGAGTGAAGTTCCAGTTGTCTGAGTAATCTGTTGCTGCAGAGTAGGTTAATCAAAGTTAAATCATCTGTGAAATGGGTGGCTTTTGTTAAGCCCAATGTCTTCATATCAAGTTTTCCCATCTATACTTCACTGTACATTTAAGGCATGTACAGGATATTAATATATAAGGATCCATTATTTCTTTTTAAAATATCAAAATGTAAAAATGCTACATTCACTGTAACAGCATGCAAGAAGCCAATCTTATACACCAACTTGTTATTACTCAGCTTAAGTCAGAATGACAAAAACGCTAAATACTGTCTGCCGTTAGTTGTGCACAATATTGTACAGCAGCACTAAATAACAAGTAAACCATTAGCCCAGGAAAAGCCCTGCATTCCCCTATATGCCCATCTTTCTTTGGATTAACTACTTCAAGGACTCATAACACATTTATTGGGTGTACTGGTGACGAATGTCTTTCCATGCGAATTGAACAACGTGTTAGCAAATCACCAAGGAAGAGATCAAACCGTGTAACAGAGAGCAGCGTAGCGAGAAGTATGACAGCACCAACGATTACAGTACTCTGTCAACATGGCCAACATGGAACCTGCAGGACAGCAAGACATATACCAGAGTTCACATCTGAATTGCATCTCTGTTGCTGAAACTGCTTCTGCTGCCTGCTAGAAAGAAATGAGGGTATGAAGGGAACACAATTTCAAATGTATTTTCAGAGAGTAGATCTGAAAATCTGCTCCCTGATAGAGCGTGCCAAAGGGAGGCTAAATAACAGCTCTAATAAACAGTTGACCACACTAACTAAAAAACACATCCACCAAAATTGGACAATGAGGGAAGCAGGCAGCAGTGTTACAAACAGCATCATGGGAAGTGAGAAATGGATCTAGATAGTAGAAAAGGGGATGGCAGAACAAGGAAGCTGGGGAATGGAGCAGCCTGAACACAGGATGTTCATGTTATGATGGTGACAAAAGTTATTAAAGTATAATAATGGCACAGACAGTTAGGCTTATTCATTACGAAATAAGGGAGAACAGCACCAGGTATGGCACAAAACTTTTATCATGCCAAAATAAATTTGTTTGGTCCCTAAACAAAAAAGACGACCGTCACTGCTGTATCACAGAATGACAAAACCTCAAAAAAACAGAAACAGGATATGCCAAGAGAAGAAGAGGAAAAAAAAGCGTGTATTTTCTCTGCTATATTCCTCAGAACAATGAACCATTTAATGAATTAATTTAATTTCTTTTACATAATAAATACAGCTGCTACAGAAACAGTAGGGTATAGAAGACTAAGGCTATTGAAAAATCTGGAGAAAAAAACAAATGTGAAAGGGAAAAATAAAAAAAAGGAAAAAAGTACTGAAAACAGACATGTGTCAGTATTTTCAACAAAACAAGAAGTTTGAGAGCACCAAGACTGCCACCTCAACATCATTTTTTACTGTGTTTCTCTTCTGTACACACGGGACCTTGAGGAAAGAGCAGCTGTGGGTTACACCCATCATACGAAAAGCCCATAAAACAAGAATTTCAGATTACCTTCTAAGGCTACTTCGGATGTGCGTGTCTTCTTATAAGAACTGTGAAACATGTTTATTAACTTCAATTAATGGGGAAATTTAATATTCCCTACAGTTCAGAATACAGTGAATGACTTTCTGTGGCAAAATACTTAGCACTCTAAAGATGACTCAATCTCTAACCAAGAGTGAAACTGATTTCTAAGAGAGAGCCTGATTTTATTGTTTCACAATATTATAAAAAGTATCAGCCTTCCTAAGACAGGCCACTTCTCAAATACTTTGAGGTCATAATAAATCAACATATTGGTACTGCAATAAAACAAGGGAAGTTGTGAGAACTGTTAGAACACTAAACGCCTCCGCCTCTTAAGGAAGCTGTCGTGTTTCAAAGCTAGGAGCTGGGCACTGTATAAGAGAAGGACAAGGCTCTCTACTGTTTTGGATACAACACTTCAAAGGGGCGCAGGTGAAGAAATGTGGAAAAGTCATAATTCCAGCAGTGGAAATTTTTGTCTTGGCATAAATAGAGGCCATCGTGTCACTAGCACTGAGGTCACCTTCTAGCTCTCGCATCTAGGGCTGCATGCAAACTGGTCATTCTTTCATTACAGATGGAGAGGACCACTGGCTCACAACAGCTGGCAGCTGAGCAGCCTTGAACCTGCAAGACAGGGGCAGGGAGTTATTCACATTTGAATATCATCTAGGACAGTGCAACATGCCTGCACTATACAGAAGCACGAATGTACTAAGTTAGTTACTTCCCTTCTCTAGCTACAGAATTTTCCTGGTTTGCATTTTTCAACTACTGAATGCAGTCTTTTCTATCAACCTCTGAGATGAGTGACATTTTAACATCAGAACTGTTTAGGTGAAAGGTACTCATTATGTAAATTTAACTGTTTGTTACACTGGATCCAAAACGTGCATCTCCAAAGGCCAACTTTAAGTTGAGGACATGAAATCTCCTCTATGTAACTGTCATTTTGTTTGTGTTGCCATAAACGTTTCCATGACTATTAGGAACTGTTTTAGTTTAAAACTAGTCTTCCCCTACATACTATCTGTCCCACCAGATTAGTTGTTGCTAGAATGCTTCCCAATCCAGATTACAATATAGCTACATAAATATTGTGGCACATAGAAGTAGAACAAAAACGACTGTTTTTTCAGTTTGTTTTTTTCTTTTCTTTCTTTTTTCCTCAAAATCGGTGCTAGCACAATTCAACCTGCAGCACAAGCAGACCGAAACCTGCAGAATGACTGCACAGCGTATCTAATAAAACTGCTTCTATTTTCCTTTGTTCGACAGCACAGGTCCAATACACTCCCTTTTATAGGAAAGTGTGAACAGGGCAACTTGTTGCTGTACGAGGGAGTTACTGAAGGTTACTTGTACATGTAAATTCAGTTGCAAGCTCAACTTTCAAGGGTACTTTGTAAGATTAATTTACAGTACACTCACTACAATAAATTAAAAACCACAACAACTCAGATTGCGAGAAGAAATAAGAATCAATGAGATAAACTAAAACTATATAGAATGTATCTAACTGCACTCTGAAAATTCAGCATATTGCTTTTTGTCAATTGTTTTAAAGACTTTAAAAATTTCTCCCCATAATCAAAACCTATCACCTAGTGACTCTCTTTTTCTAGAGGCAGCATGATTTTTCTTAACTTTTTTTAAACCCATGTCCTATTTTAGATGTCATCATAAATTGTGAACACTGAGCTTATTTATGAATGTATTTTAGGCAGTCTTAAGACAGACCTTAAAAAAGGCTCTCAACACTGAAATGATGAAAAAGCATCTGTAAGTGACTTCTGTGAAGTACACATACATGAAATAATGATGATGACCCTCAAGAAAACAGTATTATGTTTAGAGTGGAATGGATCAGGAGACAACATCTGTATTGAGAGAGCTTTCTGGTAAATGCAGAAATACAGATGACCCATCTTTCCAGCTCCACTACAGTAAACTTCAGCTATAGCCTATCCACTGAGTGTGAAACCAAGATAATACGATCCCAGGCAATCTCCACTGACAGCAGGCAGCAGAAGTAAAACTCTTCAAGCGCACAAACTACAAACTAAGTCTTCAGATTCCATGAACTTGACAGAGGAGGGGAAAAAACCTGAGAGATCAGAGAAAGGAAAAGGTAAGGGCATAGGAGAAATGAAAACAGGAAAACTCCAAATGCCTATCTGTGCAAGGATACAGAAAAAATGCACAATGGAAAAGAAACACAGATAGAGAAAAAGCATATCCTCTGTTATTCTGGCTCACTAATGAAGTTTGAAAGCCACAGATTGTGTTCTGAAGACACACCAATCCCTTACACTGGATACCCAGAGATAAGAAGGGACTCAACTTCTCAACACAAAGTATTGTTGCAATTTACTTCCTTTCCCTTTCCCTCCCCACTTAAACTCACTCACAGCGTCATGTGCATCTAGTTAAACTTGAGAGTTACGTATTGACATAGACTAGAGCAACAACAATTCTGCATTACACTTTATATCATTTGTATTACACTTCCAGGTAAATCATACAGTTTCTGGAAAGGCCAGCACAAGATTTCATTTAAGTATTCTCTTCAGGTTTTAAAAAGTGCTTTTATTTCCTTGCATAAGCACCCAAAAGTTCACATAAAGAGCAAGAAAACACAAAATTATGAATGTAGAATTAGGTCCTAAAATTATTAGCAGACACATACTCAAAGTCAGTCATATTAAACAACTAAGATTTTGTTGTAGAACTACATAAAAAACTAGGTCGAGATGAGTATTTTCATTTGCAGCTAAATTCAAGTGTTTCAACATTGAAATGCAAATGTACCAGCCAACTACGTTTTCTTAAAAAAAATTATTTTCTGAAAAGCAAAGAAGTCATGACTGAAAGAAAGTCTATGTTCATTTGCTGAGAATAGAAACTGAACGGGTTAATAAAGAAATGAGTTCCTTCTTTTAAAACTGAATGTATAAGCTCCAGGTATAAAAACTGAAATTCTTCAAAAGCTGGGGGGTTTAACTGCCAAGTTTGTTGTTAGGATATACACCCTTCAGGGAAGTTGTGTGTGGATTCTTAAATGTCATAAATGCAAGATATATCATCCCACTTCTATTTATCAGTTGTCAGCTAATTAAACAACTCGGTGTCTAATTTGAACATTTACTAGGAGTGAGGAAATGCCACGTATTAGTAATAAGAGTAACGTTAAACAAGATGCAGAATGACAGTAACGCTCTTTAGCAAGACCTGTATGATTCAGAAATAGAATTTATATTGACTCTCTCACCGATCAACCTTCATTCTACCTTAAGTTTCAAGATCACAAGTGCTGTTCTAATTCAGTCAGTCATCACTATTACAAGAAAAGAAAAAAAAAAAACCAACACAAAATTGGGTAGTAAAAAGTTAACCATTCACCTTCCTTTGGCTGAGTCATAACAGGAGTTTGTGTCTCCTTCGTATATGTAACAATTTCTCGAGGAGGAAAGTCAACTTGTGTAATTTTGGCCATTCCAAGTTTAACAGGTCCACGTCTAAATAAAATTAATAGAGAAATTAGAAAAAAAATATTAACTTCATGAATTACTTAATTTTGCCTAGAATAATACCCAAGTCATCATGTCACAGCACTGCTTAGTCAAACTTAAATCCAGTGGAAACTTAACTCTGAAGAAGTCACATGATTATGACTAATATTTTATTATCATTATTATTTAAAACCAGCAGCTATTTATACATCTGCAACAAAAAGAAAGAAAGATGTGCAAAAATACAGATAGATTATATGATATAATTTCAAAGCTTTGTTCTTTGTGGCTGACTAGGTACTGCTACATATATGACATATCCCTATTTTCAGTGGAACAGATCTGCTCATATGAGTCATGTTTGTACAGCAATGGTTCTGAGATTTTAAAGCTTAAAAAAACCTCTTAGTTATTCTGAAGGAAAAAGCATTTCCTAGTCCTTTCAGCTGTGCTGCCCTTTTTTGTCTACCTCTAAAGATACTATTTAGAATACAGAATTGCAAGTCTAATCTGAAACTCACACATTGACAAGTGAATTATCCATAATACATTACTCCAGAATACAATGAGAACCTCTGAGCTTTCTGACTTTAGCTTATGGAAGATCCTATAAATGCAGATTCAGCTAGTATCAAAGTACAATGCCTAATGTACTGCCAAAAAACACACATTAATTCAGTCATTGCAACTTCCTATAAAAGCTAATTCCAGTATGTACTGTAGTAATACTGCAACAATCCAACAACAATTTACCTATATAAAATTTAATTTCTTATTATCCACCCCTCTCCTAAGATAAAAGGGAAAGAAAAAAATAATCCCTTTCGAAAGGTTTTGATGGGTAGAATCATAATTCTTATAGTACGATATGGGTTTTAGTAAGTGCTGATAATGAGCTACAGCTTTTATAAACATAAGAAAAGATGGGAGTGACTCTCTTTACGGTTATTCTAAGCTTTTTATTTTAAAGAAATGACTTTTTAAAGTTTACATTTTGCCAAAGAAAGACTCAAAGAAAAACATTAATAAGTTTTATTAAAAATAAGCATCTTACGTATATTAAATAATATAAAATTTTCCCATTGCAAGCAAACTGCACTAAGTATAGAGATACTGAATTTACTGTTACAGAACAGTCTCTTAACAACAACTTAAAGTCTTAAAGAAAAAAATAAGCTCTTACACTTATTATTCATAAGAAAGAGGGAATATAAGAAATCTATGCAATACCCCAGATCGGAATCAGAGTGGAGCTGAAGAACTGATGGATCAGTATCCCAATGCAGCGTCCTGATACCCCAGGTTGAACAATCATGCAGCATTAGCAAAAAAGGCCAGAGATTAGTAAAGCAAATACACACTATGAAATGCTAGAGTTACAGTAAGCTTATAGTTATTTCATTGTTCACAAGAAACAGCAATGTAACACCAGTTATGAGAAATTCAGCAAACATTCAGTGCAATAATACATGCAGTAAATACAAAAGTTAAAAAGCAAACACAGAATTCAGAGCTATTAGAGAAGAATTAAATTATTTTAAAGATTGAAAGTTAAAGATCTGCAAACAAACGTATCCTTTATGAGAGGCAAATAAAAATATTTTAACTGCTGACAAGAACCATTAAAAACTTCAAATTCCTTTTAAAATCTGTTCAGATTTGTTCATGTCATAAGACAGGTTAAACGTAATGCAATCTTGCCCAGAGCAGCAAGTATGTGGAGGAAACTGTCATATCGGTGAAGGAAATGAGTCAACACATGAGCCTTTTGGTAGAGGGGCAAAAATGCATTTCCACTGGGACAGAGAACTGCTAGAGTTTCCAAGATGTGACATTGCAGTAATTATGGGTTAAGCACTGCCTTGGGCTTATAAGTGTCATCTGATTTAGAGCCAATTCCTTTTAAGATATTTAAATCTCTTAGAAACAGTGGGCTTTATATTAATAACACATTTCAAAGTCATGTGGAATAATGAACAGAACCAATCCATTTCAAGTCACTTTTGTATCAGAATAAATGAAGGGGGAAATAAATCTTCCATTTCCCTTCATTTTTACCCTTCATCCCTTCTCCACAAATTTTAATTTAGTCTACTGCCTGCTATCATGCTTAGGCAGAATTTTTTTTAAATCATGTTTTATAACAAATTTAAAAAAATATGTAATATTTTACTATAATAAGTCAATAAAAGGTAATTTTCCATTTCCTCCCATACATGGTAATGTTCTTATAAACCAGGTGGAGAATTCCTAAAGATAAAGTTGATCTCAAAAATGTACAGGCAATGCCATAAAAACCCATAAACACCAGTGTGCCAGGCACTACCTTGTTCTTGTAGAAAGAATGCATTAGAAGAATAATTAATTATCATTTAATTAAGAATTACAAATCCACTGTCTTCATATTTAGCAAATCATTCTACATAAATGCTGTCACATCCACAGCAATAGCTTAATACATAAATCTCTAAAACCTTCCCATATCTTTTGTGCATTAGAAAATACACTATTTTACCATAAAGTTACTTATTTTGAGTATACTAATTATTTAGGTCTCTGCTATTTTTCTTGACCAAATAGATTTAAGCTTGGAGTTTAATTTGGTGCCTGAGATTCCAAGCTGGATATTGCTCATATGTTCCTCAATCGTGCATTAAAAAAGGACAAAAAAGAAAAGAAAGCAAAAACCAAACCACACCCCCCCGCCCCCCCCTCCCCCTTCATATTGCTTCTGCAAAGGATGACTTATCTACAGACCCTAATGCTGCACTGCACTACCACAATACTCATCAAATATTTTCTCAACTCTTTCAGCGCCACTTGAGAGGAACTTGGGGAAAGAGCTACAAGTTTAAAAGGCTCCAACTTTTGTGCCTGCTTAAGACTTAGCCCTTACTGAGGTTGCTTTCCTGCTTTCAAAGCATTCTTTTAACTTTCAGCAGTTGCTTCAGTGGTACCAGGGACACTGTGTCCTTTAAAACAGTTCAAGTCAACAAGCAGTATAGGATATACAGTTAAATCTTCCACAGAGATAGTCTTTTAAAATAAAGGTAACATTCTGAGATAAAATTCACCTATTATATGTGTACCAAAATGATGTTAAATACTGTTCCTTTCGCTGTCCAGATGTTTGTTATGCCTTAAGTTAAATGAATTTATCTACAAGCGTCAGTGAACAGAAGTTCCTGTTCTTCCACATATGCCAAACTTCTCTGTATCTGGGCATATTCCTAATGCCTCCTCTATCTCTAAAAAGTATTTTCTGCATTTAAACTAATTCTATGAAGCATCCACCTAACCAGTAAGTCAACTGTATTAATTTCCAGTCTTTAATTTATACTCTTAACTGAGCAAAAAGAGAGAAAGAAAAGTATCAAACTGGGAACCAAAACTCTTTACTGATGAAAACAAAGCAAGACAGATGGAAGTAACAGCAGGAACACAGTCTGAACACTGCTCTACTAATTATCAAATAAGTAAAGCTACTGGCAAAATTCAGCATCATAGAGGAGAAAAGACTAAACTAACAAAAGCAGATCATCTTTGTATAGTTGCAGCATGATCAGAGAACAAATGGCCACAGACCAAAAAAAAGAAAAAAAAAGAACAGGAATCATACACTAAAATGAAAGGGCTTGTTTTAAGATTATCAAGCATGTGGAACAACTTGGGCTTTCTAACATATCTCATATAGATACAAAAGTCACCTGTGAAACGCCAGGCATAACACTAAGGGATATCACACAGTCCAACTTTTCCCATTAACTTTCAAGCGTGTGTGTGCGTTAGGAATGCTGTGCAAACTTGTACTAACATACTAGGATATAGACACCAGTTTAATGGGAGAGGGGAAGAATGTTATCCAGTGGTCAGAGAACAAGCAAGGGGATTCTAACACTGACTCTAAAGAGTTCTATTTAGCTATACATTAATACATCCACGCCTTCAAGACCACAATCTTTTCATGCTTCCACATCTGGGAAATTGTCAAGAGACAGATTTAGTTTTAAAGTTTGAAAATGCATGAAGCTATAGAGGCTTAGGATACAAGTTTTCTCAAGGCTTCTTAAGAAAATGTATGCATACAACGTTATGTTACTACATCTGAGGAACATACAATCAGAGAGCACAGTACACCTATGAGGTGGAGGTAAATTCAGTACACAACATGGTGTTTAATTAGAGATATGTGGCCTACACATATTGAATTTAAATTATGTATGAATGGAAAGAAATTATTTTTTCTTTTTTTGTTTTTAAAAGTCATCATCAAATAATTCTTGCTTTTTCTTCTAGACAGTGAATTTAAATGTAAAATGACAATTTAATATGCAATAATCATAGGTTTCAAATATTTAAAATTTGCTTGTTACTCAGTTAAGGAACAATGATATTGGTTCTTTATTAACATGACAGGTGAACTTCAATTGCATAGGGAATAAGATACACATGAGATCACACCTGGGCACTGTTAAAAAAAAAAAAAAAGACTTTGGGTTCATATAGAATAGAGTCATAGAACGGTTAGGGTTGGAAGGGACCTTAAATATCATCTAGTTCCAACCCCCCTGCCATGGGCAGGGAAACCCTCCACTACACCAGGTTGCCCAAAGCCTCGTCCAACCTGGCCTTGAACACTTCCAGGGATGAGGAATATCTGCTGCCTGATGTATCCTCTCTGTTTTAACTTAATGGTTGCTACTTAGAAATAGGCACCTTATAACCTTTGTTCAGGTCATTAAAATCTTGAATATTTTCAGATTAAGATAGTATATAGTTATGCATGCATAATCCACATGCACACAAGCTGTTACTGCAGTCTTTTTAAAAGATGTTTGAAAGCGGTGTAAGTATTCACTCTTTCTCCAAAAGAAATATCCGTATAGCACAAAAGTTACTGATGATAACTGCTTTAGTTACTGTGCTATAACTAAACTTCATCCATAATGCCTACTCAGTAAATTTTAAGTACATGAACTTAATTTGCTGAGAAAATACAAGTTACCAATATTAATAGGTAAATACTGCTCTTATTCGCAGACTGTGCATGGAAAACAGCAGAAATACCCTTTGGAAGTAGTGTTTCCCAGTTTATCACCCATGTATCGCCGCTCTGAATTCCCAGTTCAACAGAAATATTTCTGACTCTCTTTAGAGCAGCATTTCTCAAACTGTCATGCACAGAAAATACGGTCAATCATCAAACAAATTTGGCAAATACTGGAATGGAAAAGACTGTACTACCATGGTGCTATGTTTTGGCCAAATGAGACTGAGTGGTATAGTTGTGTTACAGGGATAGCTACAGAGTGAAATAACAAGAAACTGTTCCGAGTAAGGAAAAAAATCAAATCAGAAGTAATGCAAAGTTTGTAGACAGTACATTTTATTAGATCAACTAGAATAGAGGGAAAAGGAAACAGCCTCTCCTCCTTTAGAAAAAGCTGGGAAGAGCCCAGAAGTTGGACTTTTCCACTTTTCTATTGTTCCGAAACATTGACGCTTACAAGAAAATTTCCGCAAGACATTCAGACTCATTTCACTTTAAACTTGCAAGTTTAAACAACTCCACGTTAATGTTGGCAATTTCAAATTAGGAAGTATAGTTGCATTTCAAATTTTAATTTGAAAATTAAAACAGTCACTGTTCACAGATTCAATAACGCTGTAACCTCATATTATTATATTATAATCCAGTAATTAGCCATTATTTCTTCTAAAGCTTAATTATTCAGAATAAAAGCATCAAGCAAAGGAAAACAACAAGGAAAGTGACGTACCTAGATCCAACAGCGCCATCACCAGAGTCCTGGCTTCCAGCCTCACTTGGCGTACTCACGGATTTGGAAGACGGAGAGGTAGGAGGAGGGACTAAATAGTGAAACAGACAGGTATCCGCTGTTACTACTCGCAGAGGTTGCACAGCTTAGGATGTTTTCAAATTAATTTAACATGAAGTATTAAAAAAAAAGTGATGGCAAACAAAAAATACATGAATGAAAATGAACAGTAGAAAGAGAGGGGAAAAGACAATGTTAACAATTCATGCTGGACTTTCATGCAATTGTTTGGCATTTATGCATCTGGAGCGTACAAAATGGAGGGAAAGACATTTAAGAGAAAATGAATTGAAAATCTATTTTTCAGCTGAACTTCTGACAAATGATGGCATCAATTTTCAAAGGGTGATTTCCACTAAATCACGTTGCTTAAACATAAAAGGAAGATAGTTGTTAACATAGCTTTGACATCAGTTTTTCTTAAAACTTAGACATTGAATGTATGTAACTGGTAATTTTGTTTCAAAATACATAATCACTGAAGCGTAGACCAAAAAAAGTAGCTTCGTCATGCAGCATACAGTCATTTTTGCTCTAGTTTGAATCAAATCAACAGAAATCCTGTGTATTAGAACAAAGTTTCTAGTGTTGAGTTTTGGGGGATTTTTGTGTTTTCCTTCCTTTTACTTGACAAACAGTGTAGTACTGTTATATTGAAACTTTTTCTTACAAGTCAGTTCTTTCTCTGCATTTGGATGAAGACTGCAATTACCATTTAAAAAGCAATATGTTTTCTGGAACTGATACATTACAGTGAATGACACCATGCAATCTGATACAAACACAAAGCTATTTCAATATTTCTTTCAACTTTTCTTTTTAGAAATAGTGAAATTCACTATTTAATGAAACTTAGGTTTATGCTTAAGAATCAGGGTGTGTACTGAAGGTCTTTATATGCTTCATTTTTCAGCAATATGCAAAACATTCATAGAAGACATTCGCTCTTTAACAACCCTTAAAGAGAACCTTTAACCAACTGAACATGTTATGCATATAAATTGGTATCTACTCTGTCAGGGGTCAGGCAAGGGGGAATTTTGAATTTAGATCCTGAACATCTCGAGAGTTTCCTGAAATCACAAGTATATTGTAAATTCTGAAGAATGTTTCCATCCCATCCCACAACAGAGACATGGCTCTGGTTGACAAAAATTCCACCCTAAATTTACAAAATCACAGTGAATGCTTGAAATTATTAAAAGTTTATTTAACTCATCATCACCATCTACTGAATAATTTATACTAAAGGAAGTGCCCACAGGCTTTTACATTCCTATATTATTTTTGTGTGTTCTCAGAAACAACGACATTTTAATGTCACCCTTTCTTAACTGAAGAAGTGATGCTGGAAACATGTCTTGTTACCATGTACAAAAGTCTGTCAGCTCTCTCTAGCAGTAAGCATGGCCACAAGAATTCAGCAGCTTAGTTTTTATGCTACACTGCCCTCCTGTGGGGTACACTGTTTTGAAGAAAGTCTTCCCATTAGTGAGGTGAAACCTATTTAAAGGCCAGCAGTCTTATGAAAAGACCAAGTGAAATTCCACTGGCTTCAACAGAGGATGAAACTATACTACCTTCTTGAGAGTTATTTTGGTTCACTAACTTATGGCTTCTTATATAACAAGTATGGTAGATACCAAAAGCATACTTACGTTGTGAAGGTCCTCTTTCCCATAAGGGAGCTACCACTTTCTGGCGATTAACATGACAGCAATTGCCTTTGGAATCTTTAATACAATTTTCTGCAAAGGAACCTAATCTCAAGATACCCACCTACACTGACAATGCGAGCTCCAGCTATCTGCATACCAAGCTGGTCAGCTGTGAGTTAGCCTCAGTTCAGGTGTACGATCACCGTACTATCATACTTCGCCAGTAGCCAGTCGGAGGACCAAGCCTGTGCCTCAGGCACGCTACTGAAAGGTAGCGAGTAGGATGTTTTCATAGAATCATAGAACGGTTTGGGTTGGAAGGGACCTTAAATATCATCCAGTTCCAACCCCTCTGCCACAGGCAGGGACACCCTCCACTAGATCAGGTTGCTCAAAGCCTCATCCAGCCTGGCCATGAACACCTCCTGGGATGGGGAGTGCCTCACCACCTTCATTGCAAAAAAATTTCTTCCTTAGATCTAATCTAAATCTCCCCTCTTTCAGTTTAAAGTCATTACACCTTGTCCTATCACTACACGCCCTTGCAAAAAGTCCCTCTCCAGCTTTCCTGTAGGCCCCCTTTAGGTACTAGAAGCCTACAATAAGATCTCCCCAGAACATTCTCTTCTCCAGGCTGAACAGCCCCAACTCTCTCAGCCTGTCTTCACAGGAGAGGTGCTCCAGCCCTTGGATCATCTTTGTGGCTCTCCTCTGGACCCACTCCAACAGCTCCATGTCCTTCTTATGTTGGGGACTCCAGAGCTGAATGCAGTATTCCAGGTGGGGTCTCACGAGAGCAGAATCACCTCCCTTGACCTGCTGGCCATGCTTCTTTGGGCTTTCTGGGCTGCAAGTGCACATTGCTAGCTCATGTTGAGCTTCTCAACCAATACCTTCAAGTCCTTTTCCTCCGTGCTGCTGTCAATTCATTCTCCACCCAGCTTGAATTTGTGCTTGAGATTGTCCCGATCCACGTGCAGGACCTTGCACTTGGCCTTGTGGAACTTCATGAGGTTTGCACAGGTCCACTACTCCAGCCTGTCAAGGTCCCTCTGGATGGCATCCCTTCCCTCCAGGGTGTCAACCACACCACTCAGCTTGGTGTCATCAGCAAACTTGCTGAGGGTGCACTCGATCCCACTGTCACCAACAAAGATGTTAAACAGCACCAGCTCCACTACTGAACCCTGAGGAACACCACTCGACACTGGTTTCCACTTGGTCACCAAGCCGTTGACTGCCACTCTTTGAGTGCAACCATCCAGACAATTGCTTATCCAATGAGTGATCCATCCGTCAAATCCATGTCTCTCTAATTTGGAGACAAGGATGTCGTGTGGGACAGTGTCAAATGCTTTGGACAAGCCCAGGTAGATGATGTCAGTTGCTTTTCCCTTATCCACCAACGCTGTAACCCCATCACAGAAGGCTACCAAATTTGTCAGGTACAATTTTAGCTTGAATTAGGATCCAGATCAGATCTAGGTATCTTGAAAGGGGACAGAATGAATTCCTTGAGAATCTGTGTACGTTGAAGAGTGTGGTTACATGCCAGCACCTGAAAGAGCTTGTCAGGAACAGCTACTCTAAGTCTATGCGATGACTTGCTTTGAGAACTGACTATCCCATGGTTTTTAGATTCTCACAGATTAAAAAAAAAAAAACAACCACCACCACCATATGCATTTCTGCAAGAGTCTCGTCAGCTGCCTTAGCAAAAACTCATACAAGAAAGTGTTCAACTACTAGTCGCACAAACGAAATCTCTAGTAGGTAAGAACTGATTACTTAAAACACTGTAGCCCAAATGCAGTCCTTAAACTGTGAGAACAGTTACTAAATATGACTGCTGTGGCTTTTGGAATGGAGCAGCTATAATGGTGTTTATTCCACATTCACTTTTGAACACTTGAGGACTATGCAAAAGCAATTATGAAGATGTAGTCCTAGATATACTATAACCATAACAAATTATTACTATTTTTTATTTGCAAACCCAGTTGAAATAGACCCTCACCATTGAGCTAAACTGAAAAATAAGTTCTAAAGCTCTTAGATTTCAGAGCTAGAGACAGAAAGTGGAGTTGAATTATCATACTCTTTGTTTTCATCTTCCAGAGAGATGTGGCTATATAAAGGCAGAAAGGAACGACCAATTTGCTAATCTATCCAAGAGCAGCACAGACATGGATCATCATCGTTGATAGTTAAAGTTTAGACATAGTCTTGCTATTAGTCCATCAAAGTCAGTCAGGTATTTGAGATAAGGAAAATTAGGGTGTAAAAGATGCAGAAAGGAAACAAGCCAACTCTGAACAAAAATATCAGAATTAAAACTGGGCATTATGAAAAAGAGAAAGGAAAAAGCCACAGAAGAATAATGTGCAGGGGAAAAAAAAAAGAACAACAAATACATTATATTTATATATTTTAGCTAAAATACTAAATACTCCAAATAATTCACTAAGTGTAAAACATATCTTTTACAAAATAGTACTAGTAATGTGTACTGAAGCACATCACTTGACATTTATAACAGAGATCATGCAGGACAAAACAGATCAAAAACCAGACATGTATACCCCAGAAAATAGTGGCCAGAGTACTTTCAGGCTAGTTATATAAATACCACAATCTTAAACAAAAAACCCACAACCATCACCAACAAAAAGACTTAAAACCACACCTCCCCAAAAACGTCAAACAAAACCCCCCGAAACATTTATCTCAAACTATTATTAACATTCCTACCAACAGGAGACTCAGGTGTCAACCCCATGCTCTGAAGTAAGGCTTCAGCTTCTCTTCTCTTCTTTTCAAGATCAGATTCTTCTTGTACGGGAAGAACTTCTTTCTTCTGATCAGTCTAAAAATAATTCAATAATTAAGTTATAGCATTTAACAAGTATTTAAAACTGTTTCACTTTTTTTTTAAGATCTCATAGGTTCTTTTATGCTACTGAAACCTATCATCACATAGGTTAGATATTTGACTTTAGTAATTCTGATGGTCCTTTCTGTATCGACAGACAAGAATCACAAAATTTTGTAGCTTTGGTACTGTCTTTAAAAGACATATATAACACACAAAAACTGTCTTCTCATTTGTCAAAATGTCTGACACTTCACAAGATCAAGAATACCTTTTGTGTAAAAAAGTTATAAGCACTGTAAAATGCAAAGACTGAAAAAAAAATTATGTGCCTGTGTATAAAAGTATTTCAAAGACACAATCATATTGTTCTGATTTTGAAATGACAATAACTGTGTCAAAGAAAACACTATAGAGTTAGAATGACAGTAAGAGACACCACTCTTGGTCAAGAAAGTATTAGGACACTTGGCTAGATAGAGCACACGCTAAAGTGTGTAGCAATTAAGAAAATATGTTTAAGATGTAAAAAGTGATGATTTTCTATGTGTGCACTTCAAGCTATTTTTTTAAAACAAAAACATCAACAAGCTGTTTAGTGAGAAAGCTCTTTTGACTTCAGGTTTCACAAAAAGAAAATCATAAAAAACTTTGCAGTAACTTCAAGTTTACAGAGCACTTAGGTAGCTTTAAGTTATGTTACTATCTGCTAGATTTCATGCAAAAAAGAGAACAAAAATTATACCCTCATCCCCCTAAATTAGAAATAACGGAAGCTCTGCTGTGAAAGATGCTGAACACTGCCTCTCTTTCCACATTCATTTAACTACTCATTCAATTACAGAAATATAATTCTTAGCTTAAGGTGTTCATGACTCTGTCACTGGCAAGTGGATATTTCTGTAAATTTGAATTTATGATACAAATACAAGTCTTCAATAGAAGCAGCAAAATCTAGACCAAGCTATTCTATCCCTATGCCATGATTAAAGACTAATTGCACCTCACATGACTGCACATTATGCTTCGAATCTACTGCACAATTCCTTTTAAAAAAGCAATTCCCAAATTTCAGAGCAAGTTCTCAACTGGTAAGCTATTGCATCACATGTGGAATCTCAGACACAGGTAATACATTGTTACAAGATCATCATAACATAATTTGAGATATTTCCCTCCCTTTGTCAAAATCACGTAGCTGGCAGCTGCCTAGTCTTCAGTCATACGATAATTTAGAATACCGACAAGATCATAATCAAAACATAGAGAATTCTTGAAAAAGTACATCAAAACATTCCAGCAAAAGTTTAATTTATGAAGTACAATCTGCATTCAGGAGAAACACAGTAATAAATCGCTGATTGTCACACACTTTACCAGAGAGAAACCCAGAAGACTGTTAACAAACCAAGTCTAACCCACAAGTAGCATATACATCCTGAGTGTTGCTCCGATTTTAAAATTCAGGCTAAAGAGAAGTCAAAGAGCAGAAGAATGCAGCACATTGTTTGTACAATAATAATACCGACAGTCAGACAATTCACATGGACATCCTTGGAACTGCACTTCTGAAATGAGTGCTCCAAATAACACCATCACAACTCACTAAACAAAGCTTTTGTTTAATACTTCGCAATGCTTTGATTAATGACGTCAATGCGCACAAGTAGTTTTAGAAATCCAAACTTTACACAAGTGAGGATTAAAAATATAATTAAAATCTAACTTATCATATGGATAATTCTAAAGAAAACAGTAGGTGTTTGCTCTGATCAGAAAATGAAAGCACTATGGTTGCATCGGCAACCAACCATTAAATAGACACTCCCTGAATAAAATGTAGCAAATGACTAAGTGAACCTACCCTTAAATTTCAGGCAAATTACATATGCAAACAGTCAAATTTCAAAGAGAAAATTATTTCTTACTTCTTTTTTCTTTCTTTCTTCCTCCTTTCTTTTCTTCTCCTCTCTGATTTGAGCTAATCGTTGCTTCTTGCGCTCCAACTCCGCCTTCAGTTCACTTTTGTCAGACATGGCTGAAACACTGATCAACAGAAATCATACCACTGTTTGGTTTTGGTTTGGTTTGGGGTTTCTTAGATAGCAGCTTTCCTTTAAATAAGACATCATTAAAGGAACTACACTAGCTTACTAAAACCAGAACTGTGAAAAGCCTTAGAATAATAATTTAAAAATCACATTCCTATTTCCACGTTTCTTTCACTTAACATGTTCTCCATACTAAAGGGATTGATTTAAAACAAACAGACAGAACTATGATGTGGTGACAGCATCCACTCCTAAGGTAGTTCTGATGCTGTTTGAAGGAACTGCTTTGGAAGAAACATTAGGCACCGAAGATGGGGCTACCTGATCTTGCTGTAGGATTCTGTACAGCTACAGATCCAACTCAGAGACCGAAAACAGCAAGGAGAGCACCAACACAACACCTACCTTTTACTTTTCACTTCAACAGCTTAAATATTGGCATGCTATGACTTAGCAGTATGTAAGCTATATATCCTTCTACATATAGTTGTAAGATTCAAAATACAGATTTATTAAGAGATTTAGTAGGATTGCTACAAATTGCAAGGCAAAGTAAGTGCAAGTGTGATGGCCAAAAAAAACCTGTAAATATTATCACTTTTTTCCCTAAGCTTTTTATACACTGCTAAGAAATTGGTGGATCTTTTAAAGAGAAAAATTCTACAAAAGGTTTTGCTACATAACTAACTCAATTAAATACAGACAAGAAGGTCAACAAGAAACAAAAGGTAAAAAAACCCACTTTGGAACTCAGAGATTTAGAACACAGGTAAGAAAAACTCCGTGAATGAGTTGAGCGAAAAAAAGCTTAATTTTACTGTTTTTAAGAAAATCCACGTGTTCTGCAACAGATGAGAGATCTATAAACACTTTTACACTGAGCTTGATAACAATGACAGCAGATTAAGCGTTGGTAACATAACTGTTCACTAATTCAAAATTAAAAACTCCTGCAAGTGCTTGCATGGCACATCTAAGCACAGGTGATGGCTGCGAAATGATGCAAGTCTCACACATCCACCCCAATACGGACACATCTGTGGCATCTATACTGGGGCAAACGTACAAATTCCTCCACGTTGCCTGCAAACACTTAAGCACCAGTAAATAAACAACGACAAAAAAAATGTACTGCCGGCATTTAAAAACGGCATTCTGGTGTCGCTTTAAAACAGCTCTAGGAAGGCGCGTTGTCACCACACCACGGATTCCCGCCCCCGTCCGTCTGTCTAACGCCGAGCCGGGAAAGCCACGCGGCACAAACGGAGCCGCCCCCGAGGAGCGGGGCGCCCATCCCGCCCCGCCTGGAGATGACAGCAGCACGAACCGAGCGCCGCCAGGAGCGAGTTCCCCACCCAAATC